TGGAGCCAGCCTTTCCCCTCCACCTAGGCTCTGGCTGTGCGAAGGGGTGGCTTTGGGGCCGGAGACCGGTTTTCGCAGAGTTAACCAGCCCAGCGTGTGGGGCCGGTGGGGGGATCGCGCAGCTTCGCTCCGCGAGCTGGAGTTGCAGCGTTTCAATGATCCGGGCAAGGACACAGGGGAGCCCGAAGGGGAACTGAGAGAAAGGAGCAAGAGCAAAAACAGCTGTGCTCTTTCGCTGAGAGCAAGGGGAAGACGCTGAATCCCGCAGGGGGGCAGGCGGGGCTGCACGACTCTCCCCACGCAGCACCGACTGACCCAGGCCGCGGCCCCTGAGCCCTCCGCTGTACCCACCCTGGCAGGCTCGCATCAAACCCTGCGCCCCGGCCGGTGGCAGCCTGGAGCCCTTCACCTGCCCGCGGGTATGGCCTTCGGGAAGCCGAAGGTGCGAGTTCAGAGCATGGCCAAAAGCCCTGGGCTGCACCTGCCACAAGACCTCCCTCTCCCCCCCCCACAGATTCCTTGAATCGGGCAGAGAGACGTACTGTTTCGATTTCACTTCACTCTTTCAGGGAAGCTTTTGTGGGTTTCAGATCTCCACCTGGGTTCTTGATCCTCTTTTTGCACCATTTTGACTTCATTTGGAGCAAGGTGGAAGAGTCCCAGCCTACTGCCCCAGCCCTGTTAGCTGGGAGCAAAATGTTAACGCAGCTGCTCTGGGAAGAGGGCAGCTGAATTCACACCCTTTTATGGGGACAAACATCTCTTTCAGTGGCCATCTTACACCCCTGGGCTGAGCACCAGCAATGAGGCTCTCGCCAGGGTAATGATGACCCCAAGTCGCTGCTTTTTCTGCTCATCACCATCCCTGCCTTCCTGTTCAGGGCTGCTAGGATGAACTCACTATAGCCCTCACTGTTTTTTTTTTTTTTTTTGCTCCTTGCATTGAGAAGCCCTTTACAAAGGGACAAAGAACGAATTAAAAATCAGCTTGTCTCATTGAGAAAAAAAAAAACTGTTAGGAATTTCCATGCAGAGGGAGTGAGAGGCCACTAGTAAAAAGTAATGTTACTCTACTACTTCTTTCTTGATTTACTTCATCTAAGAACAGCTTTGCTAGAGACAGAGCCGCAGGCTCCTTACGGAGCTCGGCCCACAGCCAACTTGACCAGCTCTCTGTGGATCTCATTTAGGATCTGTCCATGCTGCAGTGTTCCTTCTGGTGGGAAAAGGCTGAGGGCAGGCCTAAACGTACAGCAGGCAACATGGGTCAAAGGGCTGGCACATCCCTGGGGGAGGCTGGGGACTTCTGCCCGATCCGCGCTCATTTGCAGCCCAGTCCCTTGTTATGTACCTTCCCTTGCAGCTGGGTCTTACTGCACAGCAGCCTCTTCTCTAGCCCAGTCTTGGATGGTCCCACTGCCAAAGACTACGTAGAAGATCAGTCCAAACACGTTGAGGGCTGCAGATACAAAGAAGGCATTCCTCCAGCCAGTCTGGCGATCCTGGGGGAGCCCAAGAACACATCACGGTAATACCATCCTTCTCTTTATCTCAGCTAGCACCACTCAGACCATAGGTGCTTAACTAGTCTGTCATCATCCTCTGCTTGCTACTAGTATCAACTACAGAAGAGTTTTGCTCAGCTCTAGACATATGTCAGACCCCCTCTACTTGGAGATGCGTTTCCTGCCTTGGGCATCTTTGGAAACATTGTGTGCTAGGCTGAATTAGGGACGCCTTCCTCACTGGCACAGAGCTTCCTTCTCACCCCACTCCCTCCAGCCTCTCCCCATCTGTAAGTACATGCAGACGGGGCCCATGTGGTGCTCTTCCTGCTTTCTGAGTCATCCACGTATCCTCAGAATGGTTTAGAGCTCCAGTTTGCTGGGTGCTACATGGCATGGGTTGGCTCGGCAGAGGGAGCTGAGGGGAGGGGGAGTTGGCTGGAAGTAATTTTTGATTTAGTGCAAAGAAAAGATCTGTTTTTGAGAGTGAGCCTGTTTTCTTCCAGGGATATGTTTGTGGTTTGTGGCCCCAAATTACCTGGCTGATGAGAAGTCCGACTGCAGTAGGAGCAATAATTCCCGAAACTATGCCAAAAGTATTTGTGATTCCCAGCAGGAACCCTGCATATCTGGGGAGAGGAAGCAAAGATTTCCTGAGTGAGGCAGAGAGGAAATTGCCACAAGAAGAGAGAAGACTAGGTTCTGCCAGTCCCTTCCCTGCAGTGGAACAAACCGACTGAGATTTTCAACCAGAACAAACTGGTCTTCAAATCTGTTTA